AATGGGTTACCATAATATAGTAGTTATAAGCATACACGAAGCAAAGAGAACTCTAAAAATACAAGTTCAATAGTTTACAAAGAGGGTTTATTATTCTGAAATCGTTTGCTATCGTTCGTAAATAACGGTTTCGGTTGTGGGAACAATATCTCTAAATATTTTAAAACATTAATATTCACGTCCTTTCGGTATTAACCCAAAGGATTTCTAAACAAAATTGTAAATCTTAATTACTTGACCAACGACTATAACACAAAACGTTCATCAATTAATTTCTCCTTGCAGATTAGCCACATCGACGGGCATGTTCTAATCATGGAAGCAACTTCGTCAATTTGTTAATCATCAGTTTAATTTACTACATCCAGTAATTAAGAGGTCTTGCACAGCATCACCGGGGGGTCAGGGGAGTACGGAATACCCCCCAGTGAAAGGGGGGTCCGGGATATGTATTTGAGCTCTAAAATATGCTCATAAAATATTTCGGGAGGGGGAGTATATTCCTCCCACCCCCCTTGTATAATGAGTTAATTTTTACGATGAAAATACAAATTTAATTTTGAATGTCTCCTATTTCATGCCCAGGGTGTCAGAATAAGCACAATGCTCCAGACAATAAACTGAAGTAAGCATCTATAAAATGAAAACAATGTAACAGCTGATCTACAGGTTCATGTAGAACAATAGGTTCGAGGACTTTGCTTGAATTACACAGCGAATATAATTTAAAATAATTTAGTCTAAAAACAATTTAGTTTAAAGTAGGCCAACTGATCACTGAAGTTAAAATACAACACAAATTATTCCAGTTTAGACTGGAAATTATGATGTATAGTAGATTTTGATGATTTCCTTAGATTGTAAGCCTACAATAGATTTTAATATTTAATTCTTATTTCCTTTACTCCACTAATCTAGGCTATGGGAGATTATACTGTCTGTCGATTGAAACCACATAATAATTATGTAATACGCGTAATTAATAGACTTAAATAGGTAAAAAAAATCATCCTTTGGAAATCTACGAACCACTTGGAACAAGCAATTAAAATGATTCCCCATTATATATGTTATTTTGATTACGTATATGCTACTTTAACTATGTAGGCTAAATAAGCTAGTATACAATCGTAAAACATTTTTTTTATGGTTTTATTTATTTCTAAACGAGGAATGAAAATTTGCATAATAAAGTTGTATAATTTTTCCAAACCATACAAGATCAAATTTAAATCACTTAGCCAGCAAATGAAGATTGTCCTAAAACCGAAATTAATTTTCGTTACCCTTGGCCTACGTAACAATTTGCCCGAACATAAACGTTTTAAAACCGTCTTGAACTACCAGTTCAGCGAATTGTGTCACCCAGGCACAGACAGACCGCACTATCACGGTAATTGTTGGCAAAACTGTGGTGTGAGTGAAATTGGGACATCTTGCACTAATCATAGAGCAGACAGTCCCTCGCTGAATGAAACACTCATTTGTTCAATTAAAGGCTTTGCCACAATTATTTTATTTCAACCCCCCAAGATTTGAATCGATATTTTGAACGATGTGTGGCGTCAAAACTTATTTTATCATGTGCTGGAGCTAGAAAAAAATAAAAGAATACTTAAAACTAAGTGACTTTGTATTAGAGTTTCTTTAAAGGAGTATTTGTTATTAATGGATCCACTGTTTTCAAAGGATTTCGGCAATCAAAGAAAAAAGACTTGTGAAAGGGTAATGTTTAGTTTTTCTCTTTAGGCAGATTTTTTGTGTGTGATAGGTATATAGGTGGACAACTGCGGGTGTTTCAAGCTAAGTAAACTAGCGGGAGTTAAAAATCAAATCAAACTCCTGTATTCGTGTTATACAATTTAAGTAACTTTGTACAGTACTAGTACTGTAGTGCAGGTACAACATGGAAATTCTGTCAATAGAGTACACACGATTTCATTCATGCGATAGGGTGGTGACTTTAACGGTCGTGTAACTGGAAAAAATATTTGCTATTCCAGTTTCATGAACTTTAATCATATTACATTTGCTTATTTGTTGTTGTTGCTACTAAAAAACTCACTCAGTCAAATTTAAAAAAAAATTACCACAAGCCATAATTACATAGAATGGATACTTATGTATTTTAATAGGTACCACATATGGGCACGAACATTCAATTGTCAAGACTGAAATAATTTTATAAAGAGATTGTTCACATTTTTCTTATATTAACTAACCAAATAAACCCATTAAAATAATAACTTGGCAATGATTATCAATGTCTTCTCTACTTGTTGACAGTGCAATTCATCAACCGTAGTCTAAACAAAAGTAAAATTAACTGTTTCAACACACACACAAAAATTATAATAATTTTAAATCATCGCCATGATAACTAGTAAAGTACGAAATAAATAAATGACTATAAACTCACCGAAAATGTATCCTTAAATAGCGACGTCATCCTTTAAATTTTAACGGGAACGCGCACATAACATGTTGCACTACACACACTACCGGCGCAACTGAACCGAACACCTGATCAACAATAAAAACACCTGTTTGGAGGTCGCGGGAATGTCACCAGCTGATAGTGGCTAACATAACATAACCTCACTTTTAGCGATAACGCGAACACTGGAGCAGTACGGACGGCGCGAACGGTGGGTATTTGGGAAGTGGCGCATTCGAAACTGGTCATGTATGAAAGTAGGCTGCGCCTAGTGGGGGGAGACCGGTTAACTACGAAAAACTGATGATGCCTGTTTTTGCCACATCATTTTAATGAATGAGTCAATGCTAACATACTGATAACTATGGAATGTCTTTAGTAAACAGACTAGGGAAATATTTAATATGCTACCAGGTCTGTTTACTGTACTGAAACCATTCCAAACATGGCAACTTATATGTTAGAGTTAATTCATGTATTAAAATTGTGGCACATATTTGATTAACTTACTTAAATTTCATGTACCTACCCATACATTTTTGTCAACACATTTAAGTGGGAATAGGTTTAAACTTTAAACATTAAATTGAGTTGTATTACATGGTTCTGATCTTAAATAAGCAACCCTATTTGTGCAACCAATTGGTTTACTGATTGTTTGCGACTGATTACTTTTTAAATGCAAGATAACAGTCATCTGAACATTGACTGACCTGGGTTGGGTCATCAGTTTTTATTGTTTCAAATTAAACATTCGTTATCGTAAAATAACAGTAAGGTGTTATTCAATAGCAAAACTTAGTGTACCGGTAGGGACTTCTAACATCAATAACTTTGAGAAAACTCTTAAACAAAACTACTTAACTTTGATTTTGTAGACAACAATTTTTGTGCTGTCTTGCATTTGGCAACTTACCTGTGCAGTCATTATTAGAGGTGATCAATGCTTAATATACTTTATCAACACCCCAATAAGGAAGGTAGCTATTTTCGATAACAGCTTATATCAAAGAAATAAATTGCTTCCCAAGCTCTAATTCAAAGCAAGGGAATCTCGATCAGCTGATTATACACAACTAATTTCTATTATTGAAATCAGCTGTTTTTACTGTTTAACAATACAAATTAGAACATAAATATGTATGTTAGTTGTTTTTGCTGTGTTTTAAGCTTGTATATTTATTTGCAAAATTATGTAACGGTGCAAGTTGCAGTAATCACGGCAGACAAAAACCTGCGTCACAGAGACTGCAAGACATTTTCACAGCTTTTGCCGTGATTGCGGGAGAAGATGACCAGTGTCGCCAAGACCAATCCTCCCGATATCCGACCTTTTGACCATGTCTCGTCATAGTTGGAGGGATTCTACTGTACCTATTTTTGCGTCTAGATATACCAAAAGTGAATTTCTGGCACTTGCTCAAATTATTACCAGCTTCGGCTTCGCCTCGAACATGGAAATACTCTCACATGCTCGGCTTTGCCTCATTTAGGTGTTCCTGTTTGCACATGAAATTTGAGTGTGCACCAGAAAATGCCACGTTTAGTACTCGTAATGATATATAGTATTTTATTTTTCCTTTATTATTTTTGTTTTAGTATTTTTTGTTTTATTTTATTAATCTAAATAGAAACAGGATTCATTCCAAGACTTTCCTGATTACATAAGAGTACTGCATGTAAAGCTAGAAGTGGTCCGAGATTTAACTGCTTAAAAATGCTCAATAACTATTTTTTTTCATTTACATACTTTTTTAGGAACACAATTTTTTTCGGTCCTACACTATCAGAAATACAAGTTTGTCTGCCGTTAAACGGTTACCTAAGTTAATGTTCACGAAAGCTCCAAATGTAGTTTAAATTAATTCGTTTTTTTTTCAAACAAAAAAACTTCATACTATAATGGTTACCTAGACAGATTTTAGTGGTTGCAAATGACATTATTTAAAGTGCTAACCCTACACCTGACCCGTGAGGTTCTATCCCTTTCTTTTCAAAAAATCAGAATTTATAATAGTATCTTAAACGGTTAACGTATGTTAAAATTAAATAGTTAACTTATTGTCTTAATCTTTAATTTTAATCCTACTTATCATCCAAGACATTAACAATTGCAACTTTAATTGAACTGATTTATAAAAAATTGAACTTGACCTTGTAGCACATGGTGAGTTCTAACATAGTCAATTGAGAAGCGTCACAAATACAATTTCAAGCATGATTCAACAACAGATTTAGGTTTAATAATTAGAAGAAAAAGTATGAGAATCAAAAGTAGATAAAATGGGAGAGTAGGATTGGAGTGGAATAAACTGTATAATTTTAAACAACAGGAATATTAGGTGAAACAAATATGAGGACAGGAGGAACAGCAAAATTATGGTGATGACCAATAGGACGACTGGAAGACAAGATAGATGATAGATCAAAGGAACAATATTATGCATGATAGGGTGGCACTGGCAAATAGTTATTTTTGACAACACAGTAGAGGAGAGGGTGATTAAAACAACAGGACTGGTTGTGGCAACAAGAGGATAGGAACTAAAGTAGAAAATATGAATTATGTATGAATAATTTATTTTCCAACAGGCACGCGTGTACAACAGCCGCCATCATGCACAATGGCGACTACAAACACTCGTTCTTTTTATACTATATATAAAACAAAACAAAGAGTCAACAAATATATCTTATCTTTACTTGTTTTTAGTTACAAAATATTTGTTAAAAAAACAAATATATGCCTTTCTTCAGGAAGATTGGTTTATTTTGTTTGTATCAGTTGTTTCTTCAACTTCATTCCTGTATTTGTATTTTTCTTCCATCTGAAAAAGAAGTATTGTCTCATAATTTATTTATTCCTGTTATAAAAAAAAACCACCAAATTTCTGTCAAGGAGGGGGTTGCTTTCTCTCTGTTTGACAGGGCTAAGAGCATTTGCTCCAATCAGGATGAGTTAGAGGATGAAATAAAGAAAGTAGAACAGGATTTGGCTAGTAACGGATACCCTCGATCCATTATAAACAAATGCAAGAAAGATAGGGCTACGCGTGAACCTTCACAAAATCGCAAGGAAAAGCTCGTCCACATGTCAATCCCGTGTGTGTCAGGGCTGTCGGAAAAATTCAGAAGGGTTGCTAGGAAACAGCGTTTAGGACACAAAACACACTTAGGCAGAGTCTCGTCAAAACAAAACCCAAAAATGACACTCAGGATACTAAAAACTGTGTTTACATAATAAATTGTAATGATTGTTCCAGGCCTTACTATGGCGAGACAAAAAGACCGTTGAACATTAGAATCAAAGAACACAGAGAAAACACCAAAAAAGGTTTAGTGGAAAAATCTAAGATCGCGCATCATTGCTGGTCTGGAAATCATCATACGAATTTTGAAGAGGCAAAAATTGCCCATAAGGAACCTCATTTTTTCAAGCGTAACCTCATTGAAGCCTCATACATTAAATTAGCAGACCAACCAATCAGTCAGTCTTCGGTTGAAATCAGGCCAATTGGCTACCCATTTTGAACAAGGAACTAAAGGATAGGGAACTTAATTGTTCAATAGAGAAATAACGAGTTCGCCTAAAAATTTGCACGTTTTGTTAACTCGTAGTAAAACTCGAGATAGGAACAAACAAAATTAACACCCATCTTGGGGCATTGTACATCACCTTATGGACCAGCCTTATGCATCAGCTGAGGACAATTTTATTGTTAGTTCCCTCCAGTGCCACTGTAGATGTAGTGTTTAGTTTAAAATTTGTTTCTTGTTATTTCATTCTTTAAAAACATTGTTTAACCAAATAAAACTATCTAATCATAAACAATAACTCATCCTCTAGTTATATAACTTAAACAGTAAAGCACAAATCATTAAATTAATCCTTAAGTAATAAAAACAAAATATCGTCGACAGCGATCAGAGTCACAGGACATGAAGTAGGCACAAAAAGTGAGCTCTAAAATTTACAATAGTCTACTTGTGTTGGTTAGTTTATGATATTGGTATTACTGAATAAAAACATTTTAAATTTAACTAAACGCACCATTAGTCTGAATATTCTCTCGTCCTCTCACTAAATATTCTCTCCGTAGTCACGGTCGCCGACGTTGATGCGATCGGGGGCGGCCGTGACGTTGAACCCGAGAATGCGACTGTCAACCTTGGTCATCTTGGTCTTCTTCACCTTCTTGTTTTTGCCCTGTAAAAAACTTAAATTAGTCAAAAAACTCTCCATGAAGCATATAAAAATTGAATAGGAAATTGTGCACAGGTATAATTTACTTCTAGCAGATATGTTATGGAAAGGTTAAGTATTAAGTGTTGTGGTCTGTGTGTTAGGTCTACGAGTTTTGTTTTCATCAGATCCCCCTTCCTTAAATGGTTGACAAGTCTATAAATAGTTGATTATTATAAGGTCAATCACACCTGGAAACATAATTTCAAACCGTTCTTGGGATAAAACCAATGATTTACTCTTCATATTCTTCTACAATACATTGCAAAAACACTATGTGTATTTACAGAACCCTAAACATCATAGAAGACTAGGCAACAATGCATCTGATCTACAATGAAGTAAGGAAAACAGAGATAACACTATGTGATCTTCTGAAGGGAACTTGTAATTTGGGTTGTTTTATAAAAAAATTCAACCGCTGCAGCAAACCTGCAGACTAAGCGAATTTATATTTGTCTGGTTGGATTTCCACTGAAATATTTCCTTTAAATTGTCACATTTGTTTCCAATATAAATAACATTAATTAAGAATATCATGGGAGTTTTAAATTTACCATTTTTTTAAATTTTCTTCGTAACTATTAGGCACATAACAACGCTTCAATATACTAAAATATTTGTTTTTCAAGCTCTACTAAATAGTTTGGAAATAAATTGCAAAAAATTATGTTTTTAGGGTAAAAATGGGAAAACCAAATTTTTACCCCACAAACTCCCGTTCCCATAGTTGGATCATGATGGTTCGCAAACTGGTTCGAAGAGATGTAGGTTTACACGTTTTGTACCGATTCGTCGTATAAAACAACAAATTAACGTGTAGCAGACGCAACAAATAGTCAGCTGATCAGATACCCACAATTCTATCTAACCACACAAGTGGAAGGGGTAAGAACCCAGCCGCCAGCAACGAGTCTGTCTGTCTATCCCGTGCCTCCCTTGTAGCGTAGCTAGTCAGTAAAGTTTCGGATCGTGCAAATTAAATTCATTTTGCGGTGTTGGTCGGACAATCTTTATTTTCTTAAAATCGTTTAGCCTATATATTGAAGGGATATAATTGCAACGCGAGTGGAAAATAGAATCAGTTTTTTTGCAAAACATGTGTTAAAAGTTCGTTTTTACCGATCAACACAATCCGCCATTTGAAAATTTCACGTTCGTCACACGAGTTCAAATCGATCGTGTTTTTATCGGAAAACCGTCTAGTTACAATTCCCCATCCCTATCCCTGTATTTGTGTCAGTGTTTTTGTGGACGTCCAAAATTGAAAGTAATTTGTGTTATTTATTGTTATATATTAGAATTCAGTGAGTCGCACATGTGGTAAATTTTTCCTGTTATATTTTGTTAGTTCATGTTATATAAGCACATGTTTCCAGGATCGAGCTCAATTTGGTGATTTTTATATCCATTTATAGCGTAACAATCTGTATTATTTATTAAGCTGTGATAATCTAATAGTATTAAAGATGAATAGATGAAAATGTTTTTGTAGGGTAATTCAGAGTTACTTTATAAGATTTTTATAGTATTGGAATTTATTACAGAGTCGTTATTGGATTTCATTATTGAGTATTAAGGGATAATACATTTAAGAGTGCCACAGTCAGTATTTTATTTGGGGGAAATTAAGTAATATCAAAGGTGGGAGCAGGTAGCTGGTTCGACTAGATACGGAGGTGTTATCGGAGGTTGTGACAGTTTATAAATAGATGAACCGCCAAAGTACCAAATTAGCCATAAAATAATATGCAACATTCAAATATATACTACTACGATTAAGCACAATATTGTTTAATCAGTTGGACTGCGAGACTCGACCTTCGTTTTTAATTCGTTGGCCAACGAACAGGATTTGCTTGGTACTGGTCATCTCAAACATTAAATTAAATATCACTCTTCCATTGACACGTTCGCGATCAGTGTGTAACCGCACCGCATCTTCCCTTTTGATAAATCCATTTGACATTCTCAAACAAAAGACTTCAAATTGATTGTAGCACTCAAGGTCATTCAGTATTACATAAACATAACAAGCAATTGTCAGGTAAAATCGATTGTATAATTCATTAATACTGTACAATAAATCAAATTGTTACTCACTTTTTAGTTCTCAATAACCTTGGTAATTCATTATTAGCAATATTATTTACCTAGTGAAATAATAGTATTTGTTACCGTAAGTTTCTCACAAGAAGTCCCATACCAGTAGTAGACCTACATGTTGTTTTGTTACCGTAAGTTTCTCACAAGAAGTCCCATACCAGTACTAGACCTAAATGTAGTTTTGTTACCCTAAGTTTCTCACATCTCTTTGCAAATTGAAAAAAAGAAACAACCACAGGGGCTGTTAAGGTTTATTGTAAGGTCTATTAATATTTTCAATTTACCAACAGCTTAGAAAACTGGAATAATCTTAGTGGAGTTTTTGGGGTGATTTATGTTTTTACTTTTTAGACGGCAACAAAATTTTCATAGATTGAAATTCCCTCGTTCATATCAGCTTTAACTACTTCACAAGATGGACCATTGGGCGATGCAAGAATGAACACACATTAAGGCATTGTACTAAGAAACTGAGTGATGGATCTAAAACCATGGACACAAACCGATTTGTGATATTATGGTGTCTGTTAGTTAACAAATCACAAGAATTCGTTTCAAATAAATATATATTTACAAAACTGCAAACCTTGACTTCTTGGAAGTTATTATTGGAAGGCTGCGCCGAGGAGGGAGCGGTCTCCTGGCGCATCTCAGACTGAGAGCTGTTGTTGAGCAGCCGTCTGCGCCGGTTCATGTACTTGGAAGCAAATTGCAACGCCATGCTCGCTTCCTTCAAATAAACCTGGCAGAACTCCACGATGTCATCTTGTGACTCCAATGTCCACAAGAAGTCTATTATAGTGGGAACTGCGGGAAAATGTCTTTGTTAAAGAAATCATGGATTTTCTTTTTATAGCTTTACCGTAATCAAAAGTCCTTCAAGGCTCATAAAACATAACACTTTTTCAAACCTAATACTGTTTAAAAGTTGATTCTCTAAAGCAAAAATTAAATTACATCTTAATGTGATATCGCTGAGGCTCAGAACAAATCCCATCCCCAGGAAAGGCTGAATTAATTGTAATCTTGTTCTGAAGCTTGAGAATGTATTTTTATCTAAAATTCCGAGATCAGTCAACCCCTACTAAAAAGGTAGTTGAATCAAAGTGCATTTCATTTTTCCCTAAAAATTCTGCTTATCCCTGTGAATCAAGAAATCTTTCAGAGGCTTGGAAAAAATTAAATAGCAATAGACATTAATTATTAAGAGCTTATTTATTACTATACATTTATATATCAAATTTATATATCATCGTACTGACGGATATATGGTATTCCAACAAATAGTGGGTGATGATGACATGTTGACTTTTCAACTTACCATCACACTCCCCTTTAAGCACTTCATGTAGAGCTTGGTTGCACCACTTGTTAAACTCTTCGGCCTTGGCATCCTTAGGGATGTGTTTCTCAAACAGTTGTTTGACCACAGCCTCCTCTTTCTTGGCCTTGGTCTTGGTCTGTGGTTTGGCTTGAGGCTTGGTCTGTGGCTGGGGCTTGGCCGCAGCTTTGTTGCGATCATCGTCGAAAAACCGGGCACCAGCACCGCTCGCAGCTGAACAACAATTTGTTAGTTTTGTTCAAGAAAAGGTTCTAAGGAAGGATTTTAAATCGTAGAATAAAAGGATAGCAGCTAGCTTACCTAAGAAGAAATACAGGTAGGCTATAGAACACACAGAACACAAAGAAGACACAAAAACACACAACATTTCGTCCCCGTAGAGAAAGAGAGTTCACAAAATGGCTGTTGCCACTTCTCACTAGTTTACTCACAAAAACGATGTACAAAACATAAGCTAGCTGCTATCCCCCAATTAATTCTACAATTCTATATTATTTGTTAGCTATTCAAAACATTCTGTTAAGTTAACAAAATCAAAATAAGCACAATAAAAAAAATAAAACAAAAGGAATTACTGATAGGGATGACTGTGAACAGCTCATTCCTTAGTAAAGTCTTAAGTCTAATCTTAGCAATTTAAAATAATTTGTATAATTTCACCATAAACTCATTCACACTAGATAGAACAGAACCCTGAGAAGTTCCACAGTCGAACCCGATAAGATGAAGCTCTTTCACAACAATTCACAAGTACTGATATAACCAATTTAAGCGCTGTATGTCTGTGCAGTGAGTTGTCATTGTTGGATAAATAGTTTAACAATGTATTTATATGTATAACAAAACAATTATTTATAGGATTCAATTTCCCTTTTAATTTTCTACTCTTTCTCCAGCTAACATGTATTTTTGTTATCTCAGATTGGCCACAGTTCTGGAAGTGCCAACTTTATTAGGTTGTACTGTATGTATTGTAGGAAACCTCTACAAGTATACTGTGTTGTCAGACTACTTACAGTTGTTAGGCATCGGTCCCCCCCACACGGACGAGGTCGGCTCTGACCAAGACAGACTCTGACTGGCAGTTTGCCAGATGGAGTTAGCCTGAGGAATTGTAACCTCCTTGCTGGCGGCCATCCTTTCTGCCTTCTCCCTCTCTGATTGCTGTTGAACCAAGGATATGACATAAGACACTAGGACTAGAGATTAAGATTGTTATTAGGATAACAGGCTTTCCCATGGTTTAAGGTTCACCATGGCACAAGATATTCATTTTACAATATACTCAAAAGATTAAAATATTTTAGTCACTGACTGCATTTAAACCCAGTGTTTGGGAGAAGATAGCCCAGGGACTTCTAATGACATTCTCTGCCTAACTCAGACCATTCCTGGTTACAATGCTTTTGATGACAATGAAATATTCTAATTAGTATTTTTATGTATAGTGTAAGGGATTAGTGTTACTTATTCCAGGGTGGACTCTTCCCCATTTAGGTAAGCCTGCTATCCTCTTAAGTCATATATACAGGGTGGAAGAAAAGTCTCTTTACACAATAATGCAGTATGTAGGACACTGTTGTTATAAACTTGACTGATCAGCAAATATTAGTACATGAGTGGTGAGGGAACAGTAGGGGGAGAGAATGAAGCCTTATTCTCCCTTCCCCTACCACCGCTTCGGCCCTAGAACACTAATTAAATTATCTTTTTTGTAAAGGGACTTTTCAGCCACCCTGTACTAGATGGAGTTGCTCAGGAGGACACAATGGCTTCCTTGCTGGTGGCTATCCCATCTAAATTATGTTTGAAGTTTCTAACGATGAAAACAAAATTACTTAAAATGCCCTTTTTGTTCTGAGTTTGTACTTGGTCTGTGTAAATGATTCCACTTTATCAGACTGATTACATAACAGGACTCGCCTTTGGCTCGCTGGGGGCTCCGCCCCCAGGCCCCCTAGCTGTTAGTCGTCATTAGTATACAGCTAATCCAGCTAGCTGTTAGTCGTCGTTAGTAGATTAGAGTTAAGTTGTAACAAAGCAAGAAGTGAAACCGTCAATATTAAGTTATATAAGTTAACTTCGAGCTCGACCTTAAGGAACACCTCACAAAAAAATCATTTTTAAAGTTGCGGTAAGAGAGTATGTTAGTTAAGTATTTAAACAACTGAGTTGTTGGTCGAGCGAAGTACAAATATAAGAAGAGTAGGGTTCGTTATAGTGAAAATCGACATTAAAGTAATAACGATTTCATGAATATATAAGAGGAGATTGATAAGTTAATAAGTTGATAATAGTTAAGTATTATATGAAGTAAATAGATTGTAGTAGATCGGAGGCCAGGAAACGTCGGAACCCTATTTGCAATTATTTAAAAATGTACAAGTTAGTAAACTTCTGTATAAGATAAGTACATTGATGTTGATTGATAAGTTAATAAGTTGATAATAGTAAAGTGTTATATGAAGTAAATAGACTGTAGTAGATATTCATGTATATATTTATGAAAATAGATTAAGTAATGTTTGTTTCCCTGTCGGTTAGCCATAAACTTTTTGGCATATCCAGTTCCGCCACGAGGAGGCCAGGAAACGTCGGAACCATATTTGCAATTATTTAAAAAATATACAAGTTAGTAAACTTTTGTTTAAGATAAGTAGATTGATGTAGATTGAAAAGTTAATAAGTTGATAATAGTAAAGTATTATATGAAGTAAATAGATTATAGTAGATATTCATGTATATATTTATTAAAATAGATGTATATATTTATTAAAATAGATGAAGTAGTGTTTGTTTCCCTGTCGGTTAGCCATCAACTTTATGGCATATCCAGTTCCGCCACGAGGAGGCCAGGAAACGTCGGAACCATATTTACAAATATTTACAAATGGAAAAGTTAGTAAACTTTACTAACTACTCAAAGGAAATATATACAAAAACTAAACTAACTACTAAAAAAAGAAAAAATATACAACAACGGGGACTTTTGACAAGTCAGGCCCGCTATCGTATTGTCAAACTAGAATACTAAACACACAAAACAACGACTTATTTCTAAAAAAAAAATAACTAAAAGGAAATATGTACAACAACGGGGACTTTTGGTAAGGCAGGCCCCCTATGTACAACTGCCGGTGTTGTCAAGTCACGACGGGGAGTTTTGATGAAGCAGATCCCCTAGCCTACTGCTGGTGTCAAGTCCGGTTTAGAGAAGGAGATCGCCATACACGATGTTCTTTGCGTATGCGATTCCATCTCGGACACGTTCGGGATGGACGAGAACGACAATATGGTCGGGATGTCTGACCCTACTGAGCAAGACGTACAGTTGCCCGTGCGTGAAGCAATCGGTCCGTAAATCAACACCGACTGAATCTATTGTCTGACCTTGGCTTTTGTGTCCGGTCATGCAATAGGCCAACATCAGTGGGAACTGACGTCGACGAACACGTAACGGCGAACCCTCGACAAACGCGAACGTAAACGTAATTTGGGGAATTCCGATAGGTTGCGTCTGTCCGGGAAGTCTCACTGTAATCAGCCGGTTGGTGATGCCGATTACGATGACTTTAGTGCCGTTGACGAGTCCTTCAGCGATGTTGAGATTCCTCATAATAAGGCAAACAGAGCCGATCTTCAGCCGCAGAACATGGTCTGGTACGCCCTTGCCAGTAGCCGTGTTCAGGAGTTGTACGTCGACATCCAGGCCATCGTCGTTTTCTCTGTCCACTGTGTCGGCGCTCCTCAGCTCGTACAGATGACCGTCAAGGGAGTTCAAGATGTGGTCGTTGATCTCCTTGACGTTCACTATCAGAGTCGAGAGGATTGCGCGTCGCGAACACAGATCAGAGTCGAGTAGGACGTTCGCAGGAAAGACGGAATCGACCAAATCAGTCAAAGACGTCACTTGTCTAATTCCGAGCAACGGAATTAGACTTTGTTCGTTCCGTCCCTCCAAGAAAGTTGTCGAACTAACAGTACCGTTGCCTACCCCGAGAAGGAAATCTGAATAGGCCGTGGAACTACTAGTTCGGTGAGCTGTGGTCAGGGCAAAGATTTTGAAGTGCTGCCAGAGATGGGAGGCCCGAAGTGAAACGCAAACAATATCAGATGGCGTTCGAGCGTTCACGACGACGGGTGCGATCTGGCGGAAGTCACCACAGCAGAGGAAGATTTTACCACCGAATAGCTCACTGGAACGCATGAGGTCTCGCAGGGATCTGTCGAGAACCTCGAAAACGAACCGATGTGCCATCGGTGCCTCATCGAAGACAATAAGCCTTGCGGCTCTGATGAGCTCTGCTCGCTGGGAGCCGTTGGTAATGTTCCAAAAGTCGGTGCCGTCACCGAAGTCGAGCGGCAACCGGAACATGCTGTGAGCTGTAGTCCCACCAGGCATGTTACCCGCGGCGATTCCAGAGCTGGCGACTGCCAGTGCAACCTGACGACAACCTCTCACGTATGCGAGAATGACACGAATAAGAGTGGTCTTTCCGTAGCCACCCGGACCGTCAAGGAAAATGATTTTCGACGACGTTCCGCTGGCTGGGGCATTGAGAACGGAGGTAACGTACTCAAATACACGGTGTTGGTCTTCAGAGAGCTTTGGCACCCACTCCTCCACAAACGCTCTCTGTTGATTTTCGCCGTGTAAGAGCAGTTCTCTGCCCAACTCCGTCGTGTCATCGTGTACATCGGGGAGGCCGTGATCTGCGACGCAAGAGCCCTGCCGACGGAGACTACGATCAATCTCGATGAGACTTAGCTTGTAGACCAGTTCAACATCGAGAGGATTACGCTCTATGTGGTCCTCGCAGATAGAATCACGGAAAGCATCCCACAGGAGAGCTGCAGGAGCCCCCATGTTGCAGAGGATCACAAAGAAAGAACGAAGTCTCGGGCCAGTCATGAAAGTGGCGGCCTCGCGCAGTGCGTAGTGGTACTCCTGTTCGTCTTGCACCAAGCCAAGATGCCGCGCGACCCCTTGAAAAGTGCGGCAGTTGGGTCCACCGCGGGACAGGAGGTCGGCATAACCACGGCAAGATACAGTCATAAGCAGGATACGCAGGTAGTACTGTTCTGTCCTGCTCGGAGAGACCCAAAACAGTCTGCACACCTTCTCCCCACGCTGTCGGGCAGTGATATAATGGACGCCGTCTGGGTGCTCGTATATCTCCGCAGTTTTTGGGCGCTTGACATGAACCACAAACTTTTCATAGAAACCCTGATATGTCACGTCGTCAAACAGTGAAATACGAGGCCGGTCAAAGTAGATGGTGAGTTTGGAGCTGTTCCTAGCGGCTGCCTCTGCCAGTTGGCCAGGTCTAAACAGGACGGACTGCTTGCCTTCCAGATGGACGGGAAGACATTCAACAGCCGGCTCAGATTCTGATACTGGAAAGTTTAATAAGCGCCAGCACGCGTCACTGGCACCCACCATTCTCTTCGTCACGTAATGCTGCACCTCATCATCTTGCTTACTGAAGGGAGTAACTGTGACGTTCTGGAGAGATCCTCCCTTCATAAGATATTTGAAGAGGTACTTAATCACGCGGCGAGTAGACGCCAGCTCCAAATTGATGTGGGCCTCGTATTTCAACATCAGTGCGGGATTATAAGGCACAACCCAACCGTCATGTACGATAATGTTCTTATTGCGTGATACAATTGTCCCCTGATTGGTGTAATCACGTCGGTACTGGACGAATCCCCTCTCGTCGACGTGGGTGGTTTCACAGCAGGGCTTGGGGAAGAATTTGGTGCAGTAACCCTTTGCAGAGTCCCAACAGAGGAAGTCAGTCCTGTGATCATTACCACATGGACCGTGAATCATGTGTTTTAGGACCAACTTCCTCAGTCGGCCTCCGGCCTCTTCTTCCGAGGGAATATCCGCGCGGATGATGGAGTCAATTTCGGACGCCTGAACTGGTCCGTCGCCGTCAATCTTGAAAACAATGTGGGCGTGAGGAAGACCCCTCATTTGCATCTCGATGACGTAGACGATGTAGACAGACCGTCCGAACATTGATCCGCTGCGTAGGTCTCGGAGAAGTTCCAGGAGTTTAAGTCTGAAAACTCTGCAAGCAGTGCTAGGGTCACTGCGACTTCCTCCACGAGGGCAAGCTTTCTTGTTCTCTTCCCAAGTGGCGTTATACGTGAACGTCAAAAAGAAAGTGGGGGAACCTAGTCGCGATACGATTGCCATGGCGTCCTCATATTTGACCTTCATGTACCTGGGCCCCCCGGTGAACGAACTTGGGAGGTAGACTTTTCCTGCCTGCACCCCACCCTCGCCTTGGACGGTTTCATCACGAGCGATGTCGTTCAAGACCTGCTGTGCATTCCGAATCTCGTCAACCGGCCCCACCCGCAAGGCACTATCGGTGTTTTTCAGCTGCGTGAACTTAATATAACGCAGTTTCTCCTCCTCGTACCTCGCGAACATCTCAACCTGCCAAGCTTGTGAGAGACGGCCTAGGTGAGAGAAGCGAGGTTCCGAAAGTAGGAGGCACCGCGAGTACTTAAATTGAGTCAGCTTAGCACCCTTGTTGTCAAGACGACCAACGTGCCATCCCACAGTGCCTTGCGGGTAGAGTAGGGGATATTGGAAAGGTTCCATCAGGGGGTGTAAAAGATCTATAAATGTAGGTCTGTCAGAACCGGATTTCCATATTGTCAGTCTCCGGGGCTCAGTGTCGTTCTCGTCATTGCTGAGCACGGCGTGCACTTCAACGCCTGTCTGCCGATCGCCGAGAACAGGGCCATCGGTAGACCTGCTTGTTATCTCAAATGCCAAGTGAGCATTTACAGAAGGCTCGTTGCTCAATCGACGGTAATGCTCAATGTAAGGATTTTCCCTTGACAGGAAATCGGCAATACCATCGATGATCTCGGCATCAAGCGATCTACCCATCGCAATGTTACGGCGCTCTTCGCCATCGTCAATATACAGGCGGGACCGATTCACAAACTGAACGTTCCCAGAACGAGTGGTGAACTTTTGTCCTGGGGCGTCCAGATTTTAGACCTGGTGGTACATTCTTCCCTCGATCTTGAAAAAAGAAAGACCACTGGGATGACGATACCCGCCTGACACTTCGAGCGCGCAGAAAGCAAACATATCGTTGTATGCACGGGCTCTTTCCAGGAAGAGACGGTCAGAATAAAAGCGTAATTCCTGTTCCTGGATATACTTTCAAATCTTTGCTAGCTCTTACCGTTTTCGAGCTACATCCGGTTGAAAAAAAAGTGTTTTTTCGTTTTCAGAGGTCCGCCATTTTGGATTTTGGGGGGGGGGTTAAAATTTGAAAATGGGACTTTTGCAAATTCCACCGGTATTGTAAGACCTCACACTACAATACTACGCAAATTTGAAGTCTCTACCACGTTTCTAAGTGGTTCAGATGAGCTTGCCAAAGTCGGCAATTTTCAATGCTATTTCCCATAAGAATAACATGGGGGGGAAACCCTTAATTTCGGGGGGGTTAAAATTTAAAAATGGCACTTTTTGGAATTTTCCCGGGGGTTTGGGCACTAGACCTACAAAACACCGAAAATTTCAAGTCTCTAGCTCATCTAGAAGTGGTCTAGAATTTGTATCCCCCAGTGAGTTACATATGCGGCTGTATATAATTTAGATTCTTGATTCCTTTAGAGGGCAAATTGAAAAAACAGATTGATATCTGATCTGTTTACAAAAAGTACGTCATTATTTTGAGGGGGTTGTCTATCTTTAATGGGGGGTCTTCTTACAAAAGTATAAGTTATATTTCTAAGCTTAAAGTTCTATTTTATTAAAAATTCTTGATAACCTGTTTAAATTTCATTATAAGTGTTTGTAAAACGTTGTTTAAGGACATTAGTTTTTAATAGAAAATTTCTGCAATAATCTCTTAACCAAAATGATGGTTCAGTGAGGCTCAGGAGGATGTCCTACAACAGCCCCAGTAGGCTCATCACCCAATGAAATGTCACGATCATGTCCCGTCACATACCTTGGCCAATCTCTCCTGCTCCTCTGCCTGTATCTCCGCCAGACTCTTGACCCGTGGCGGGGCAGAGTTGGGGACGTCCGCCCACTTGAGGCTGCCCAGCAGTCCGGAGGCGCTCTTGGAGTTCTTCAGCTGCTGTTGTTGCAAAGCTTGTTGTTGTTTCTCCAAAGCTCTCTTCTCCTTCTCCTGTTGTTCCTTCAGCTGTTGTTGCTGTAACCAAAGCTACTCGTTGAGCCGTCTGAACTCGACTAAACTATTTGTGTGTTGTAAACTTTGAACAAGGGAAATAGTTTTAGTTGTGCAACTAGTAAGCAAAGTGTCACTTTCTTTAATCAAGAGAAAAATATTGACACACGGCTTGGTCGTGTATAAATTTTATCGAGTTTAAAAAAGGGCACTTTGAACGTGAGTTGGACATATTTTATCTACATAATTTTGGTATGTCGCAACTAAAAAATAATTATAGACTCAAACAAATGTACTTACAACATTGAGGTTAGAACTTTTGTAGCTGGGCTGCAATATTGTAGCAATGGGATTAACAATATATTTGGTAACATTCAGCAAATGAAAAATACTCTTCATTTACAAACTGTTAACAATCTCATTAATTAATAATTGCTTTATATTTAATGCCATTTTAAATGTAATAAATTAATATAACTGCATACTGCCCTTTTTCTTTATTATTTTGTTATTATTAAATAAAAAAAACTGAACCAAAATTCTAATTTTGTTCAGTTGTCAATGGAGTGAACAAAGATAGTGAGCAAGTAAAATTGTTAACTTTACTCGTTCCTACTCCGATTGACAACTGGACAAAATCAAATTGCCAGAAAAGAGAACATATAAAAAAAAGGTAACAATCTTGAGAAATCGGCTATTTTATTTTTCAAACTTAAGTTGTAAAATGTCACTTTCTATGACAACTGTAAACAAATCATACATTTCATACAGTATACAGGGTGTCATAGACCACCCGGCCGGCTTCTATAGCTCCAATATGAAAGCAAATAGAAACCTAACTACAACTGGAACACCCTATTTTGACCCCAAGGAATTCAGCTAAATTATTTTTAAATACACCTTGTATACTCAATTTCACATTCATTGAGCAGGATGGGAGAGGAAGATAGATGTGAATATTAACGATGCTGGAAACATTATGTTCATTGTCATGTAGGTTGACTATCCTCAGACCCTCATGATGAGGATAAAGTAATGTTTACTTACGAGACATGTTTGTTTTTTAAGTAAGTACCGTTTTTAAACTTCTCCGTTCCAGCGCTGCGATTGGCATTTTGGACATTTGCACTGTATATATGCATCTATTGGCAAGCCCTAGCCGGAAATTCGACAACAATCGGCCGTGTTTACATCCGGTATCGAGCATTCAAAATGGTGCCGCCAATTAAGACTGCCGCCGACTGTGAAGTGGGCGCTTTAATTAGATTTTTAAGTGCTAAAGGTGTGAAAGCCATTGAAATTTATCGACAGATTAGTGAGGTGTATGGCGAGAACATTTATGAGTGACGGAATGGTACGCAAGTGGGTAAGGGCATCTAAAGACGGCCCCACCAACGTCCATTATGAGCAACGCACTGGGTACTGGGGACAGTGACGCACTGCAACGGAGAAATTTAAAAACGGTACTTACTTAAAAAACATGCCTCGTATTTTGTTGATTTTACATTATGAGTACTTTTGAGATACATTTTGATTTAGATTTTATAATTTATATTTTCATTTTATGTAGCCACAATTTTATCCTGATTGTAACATTTGTATATGTACATTTACATTTATATAGTCCCAAAAACGACCAAACGAAGTAGTGTGTCATTGGTCCTGATTTTTCTAGGACGCTGAAGCTGAAGCTTTGGTATCGCTGAAGCTGCGGTTATTTTACTCATTAACGTATCAATATACATTTGCTGTTCATTGTTCAGTAAAGTTTAATCTATACAATGAAATAGTTTCTATATGTCTCTAGTTGGTTCGTTCGTATATGACTGCTTAATCAACTAAAACAACAACAAACCACAACTAACCTATCCAATCTAATCAAATCAGATGAATCTTACCAATCGGAAGGAATTTTCTTGGAGGATAAGTTTTTCAAGGAGGGAGTTGGGAGGGATGCGGAGAACACAACCGTTAGACAGTAGTACCTGTTTGCGCTCCGTCTTTTGTATATCCACGAGACTAGGCCCTGTGGCGTCTGGAGGGGTCCAAGGTGCAGGGGTGGGTGTTACCTTGGCAGCCCTAACTTGTGCCTGCTGTTGCTCCTGCATCCGCTTCAACGCTTCATTCTGTCGCTTGGCCATTTGCTCCTGTCTGCAAGATACAATTTTTATTACCTAATGCTTAATTTAATGTAATCCCTAGGGATGTACAGCTGGATCGAAATGCGTAGTAATGTTGGGTTTGAAGATCGGCTATGGCACAACTATAACGTGGATTGGAAGGCTCCGCAGATTTTTTGTAGCTAGGCTAGTAAAAGTGAATAGTTAAGCTCTTTTAAGAGCAAGGAAAAAACAACCCATTGGCCATTGACAGTGCAGATATTCTATGACTAGGCTTATATTGCCTGGTTAGCCATATGATAATAGGACTCACCTTCAAATATGAAAGTTACTGGTTCAAACCCGCATCTGTCATTGGACTACTAATTACGATACTTTCTAACAAACGGTTGTCATTAGACAATGTAAGACCAGGGTTTGGACCATCCACATAGTAAAAACATAAAAAAAGAAATGTTAGAGAAAAACTGCAAAATGAAATAAATAACAAAGATTCTCCCTTGGATTGGAAACAAACTAACTACCATAACGAAGGTAATCATTTCTTCTCATAGCTTAAATCTAAAATTTGCCATCACATTCTGAAGTCACTAAGAAAAATTAAAACCTACTTCTTTTTCTCCTCTTCTTGTCTCTTGCGCTCTTCTTCTGCCTTTCTCTTCTCTTCTTCCTGCTTTCTCTTTTCTTCTTCTTTTCTACGCTTTTCTTCTTCTTTCCTCTTCTTTTCTTCTTCTTTTTTTAACCTATCTTGTTCTTTCTTAGCTGCCGCCTGAAAAACATAAACCAAATTTGAAAAAGTGGGTTTATATAACTGCCACATAGCTATGTAAATAATGATTAGAATAGCAGCTTCCACCCTGTTGGACGTTGCTCTGCCCATGCTTTGCAGTGGGGAGACAACACAGAGAAGATGGTGTGGTACTTGATTGCTTTGTGTCCATGTCATAAGAAATGATTCTCTACAAATGAGTTTTTCACAAATGGATTTTTAGTTGGAACACATAAGGCTCCCCACTCCATCCAAACTAAATGGTTGTTGTGTCACTTAATCATTCAAAACATTTGTGTCAAGATTGAAAATCAGACACAAATCATCCTACATACATACACAGGGTAGTTACCCAAAATGTCGTGATGATCAGATAAACGGTTTGGTAGCGCATAAAGGACAGACAGACATGGAATTATATATATATGTATGTGTGAAGCCTCATTACCTCTTTTTTCATTTTCTCTTCTGCTTCCAGTGCCCTCTTTCTTTCTCTCTCCTCCTCTTCTTGTCGCTGCCTTTCCATTTCTTCTTCTTCTTTAATCCTCCTCAGTCGCTCACGCTCTTCCTCCTTTAACCGGAGCTCTTCTTGTTTCCTAAAATAGGATAGTATTATTTCTGCAGTTTTGATTGTTGTTACAAGTGACAAAAAACTTTGAGTCCCAGCATCACGTAAAGAAAAGGCTAAGTAAATAAAGATGATATGGTTATTTATACATAATAACCTAACAACCTAAGAAAGTGTATAGGAAACTTATCAATATTTATGTCTGTCTGTGTGTATATTAGTGACACCCAAGATGGCAGTAACTCTAAGAAAACTAATGTAGCCTAAAGTATTTGCGTTCCAAAATCTTTCTCTCTAGACAAACCTTTTATGTTCCTATCAATTGGTTTCTTTATAGCTTTTACTTTTGCTACAGCACAAATATCTATTGAGGGCAGAGAATAAAAAGGACGATATAGGATGGAAGTGTACTTAAAATTATAGACATCAAGCACAATACATTTAATTTTGCAGTTGAATTGACACATTTTTTGGACACATTTTTCGAATCAAGGCTCCATCAAAATAACAAAGAACTCAAAAAAAATAAATAAACCCTAAAAATATAGTAATTTAAACAATATTTCACAAGCTAATAATATTAATGAGTAGGAGATAAGAAAATAGGATAGTCACTTGCCACAACAAACAATAAACTAACCTCAATTCCTCTTTTTTCTTTTCTTCCACTCTCCGTTGTTCTTCCTACAACAGAAAAAAGCAGTGGTTAATTTTCAGCAATACCATTTTAGCAAATTCCCCATACAGGGAATAAGCTATTACCGTTGGTCTAATGGTAAGACCTAGACCTAGGACCGATTTACTTTTTCGTTTTGAGGTTTCCAGAGGTCAAAAACAACCTCCGTTCAGATTCATATATATACAGGGTGAGTTTCTACTAAGCGTGTTAATTTTTACCAGTTATTCTACTCACTAAAAGGAACAAAAAATGACAAACAAAAATTTTCCAATCCCACTCGTTAGGCTGCAATGGCCGATTATGTGAATTTTTAAAATTACCTGTAGTAGCTTCACTAAAAGAGCATAGAAATTAAGCCAATACACGTACAGCATAATAACTTATACTAATGTAAAGAGCATTAAATTTCCTACAAAACCATTGCAACATCCTTGACATACAACCATATTTTCACCGTTGTATGTCTCACATAACATAAATAAAGAAATTTTTAAATTATTTCTTTACAACTTCAAAGTGTTACAACTATTTACACTAATGTGATATTTTTGTCAAATTACGTAAAAAACTTTCGCATTTCATGCCCTTTAAAATGATGTAACCCATAAGGTTATTGCTGTATTAAAAGTTCGAATAAATAGGTCAATACTGCGTCAAGGTCTGAGTTTTTGGAATCAAAACATTGAACCAAATGTAAAACAGTATCTGTTAATTTCTTAGCTATCTTTAACTCAGCTTAAATCTGATCAGCTGTTAAACTTTGTTTACAGAACCAGCTGATTTTAATTGTTGGCTTGTTAACACTCAAATTATTAACTTCCCAAAAACTCTGACCTTGACGCAGTTTTGACCTAATTTTTCGGACTTTTAATACAGCAATAACCTTATGCGTTACATAATTTTAAAGGGCATGAAATACAAAAGTTTTTTTACGTAATTTGACAAAACATCACATTAGTGTTATTAGTTGTAACACCACTTTGAAGTTGTAAAGAAGTAATTTACAAACTTCTTCATTTATGATATGTGAGACATACAATGGTGAAAATATGGTTGTATGTCAAGGATGTTGCAATGGTTTTGTAGGAAATTTAACGCTCTTTTCATTAGTATATGTTATTATGCTGTACGTGTATTGGCTTAATTTATATGCTCTTTTAGTGAAGCTACTACAGGAAATTTTAAAAATTCACATAATCGGCCATTGCAGCCTAACGGGTGGGGTTGGAAAATTTTTGTTTGGCATTTTTTGTTCCTTTTTAGTGAGTAGAATATCTGGTAAAAATTAACACGCTTAGTAGAAACTCATCCTGTATATGTATATACAAACGTTAGCGTGATAATTAAAGCAAAAATGATCCTATTTTGATGAAATTTGGTACAAACGTGTAAACCTACGTTTATTCGAACGAGTTCACCAAATAGAATGATCGAACTAAGGCATCCGGGGTTTATGGGGGTTTTATGAAGTATAAATTAATTTTCCCATTTTTGACACTAAAAACACTAAAGTTTCACAATTTCTTTCCAAACCATTATATAAAGCTAAAAAAATAAATCATTTTGTATATTGAAGCCTAATGTATGCCTAAAGGTTACGGAGATAATTCAGAAAAATTTTAAATTAAAAATTCCCATGTTGAATAAAAAAACTGTTATAGTTTGTTTGTTTATGGATATATTTTAAACTAATTTGGCAATTTTTTTTATTTCATTCTAAGCTATCAACATTTTAATAAAAAACACTTCAATACCTTCCCTGTAGCAGCAAACCTAAGTACTCACTAAAATTAATGTAATTTAAATAGAAAATAAATCTGACAACTTAAAGGGAATATTTCAGTAGAAATCCAGCCCGGTAAATGGAAATTCGCTTAGTCAACAGGTTTGCTGCGGTGGGGGTATTCATTTTCAATACCGTTAATTTGAGGAGGACAATTACCACTTGGGGTATCAGTGGCTACAGCATTTTTAAAATTTTAAAAGCGATTCCAAAAACAATAAATTGATAGGGCAAATTAAGATACAAAAATGTATAGGATCAACAATCATGTACCTTAATTTGTAACATGTTCACCTCTTTATTAGGGGTTATTCTTTACTCCCCCCAGACCCCTCGGTCACCCCTAATGAAAAAGTTGGATGGGCTTAAAGATTCAACAAACTAATGCCCCAAGCCATGCTTGGGCTTGGGTTTTAAAGTTTACTAGAGGTCTTCCAGTGGTCGAAAACTCAACCAAAAATATGTAATGTAGAGACTACTCTATTTCCACCCCAAGCTGTAAATGAAACATGTGATTGGAATTTCTTCCATTTGTTTTGATTTTCTGTTTATATTTCGTTGTTATTTCGTCACTAGCATAGCAATCCTATTGGGCCCATGTTAATTTGTTCAAATTTTTAATTCATTTTTTGTGCTTATTTTTGAGCCTATTTTAATTTAGGAAAGGGATTCTGCATTTCTGCAGGAAAACATCTTATCTCTCTTTCAGTATGCTTAGTCCCTGTGATGCACAAGAGCTGAGAAAAAAGGTTTTAAAGAAACACGCTTGCCTATTAATATATAGATAACAACCGTAAAGCTATCACAAAATTTACATTTGTACTCAAAAGTGAATATGGGAGTTTAAAAGGAAAATCCATATTGAATGGGCTAATAATCATAAAAACATTATACAATTTTTGGGAGATAAATTTAAATGGTATCAATCATAGTTTAAAAAAATTTCAGTCAATATCTGGACAATTTGAAAATTTAGTTATCCGAGCAAACTAAATCCGTAATTGTTTTTGGTAATTGACTCTGTATCGTAAATCATATTAATATTCTTTTACAAATAACAATGCTTTTATATCCACTTACTAAGATATCTTTCTCAGTTTTTATTCCTTTGGAGATAGGGTCAGCCCACAGACTCTGCGGAGGGTTGGCAGTGGCGGGGGCATGACCAGGAGGCACGGACCAGCTAGGGAATGCGGGGGCACCCCACACTGACTCCATCTACGGAACACACTGAGATCACCACTAGCAGACGACGTAACATAACAAACAGTTGATCAGTTAATATGTGTATATACAAAATAACTAAGTATGCTAAATTAGTATTAATAAGTTTGATCTTGTTTTGGGTAAGAGTCGGCTTACCTGGTTTGTGTGTGTGTGTTTATTCATGTGTTACATTTGACAAGTTCCCCCAATGTTAAGGTTAGCCTGCTCTTAATTTTCTAAACAAAGTCAAAGCTATTATGGCCTAGAGCTTTCTAACAAGCTATTAAGATGGTAAGTTAGTTTTGTTAGCATTAATAGTTACAATCACTTTTAAGGCGTTTATGTTTACCTGGACTCTTCAAAAACTCTATTTATAAATTAATAATAATTCTTACATAATTCCCAGGTACTAGTTAATACAAAATTTTAAAAATAGTCCCACAATGTCCAATAAATTTTCACTGTTTTTCATTCAATTATTTTATTTATGAAATTAACAGAGATAGGCTAAGTAAAAACGGTAAAAGCATTTTGAAGTTGCATAACAATGGTGCAAGAAGAACACAATCAAAATTAAGTATCTGTCTTATCAAATAGTCAAAGTAGAAAAAAGATAGAATACAATCATTACGAAAAACTAGGAGTCTGCGGCTCACTTCCCCGAGAAGTCACTTCGGGCCTAGCTGAGCTTTTAACTTTGTGATTGCAGATATCATCTATAAGGATGTAGGGTCAAAAATTGAAGATTTTGTCGCAATTGCTGGTGATGTTCAGTTATGTCCCAACCAGAGAACCAATGATATCACAGAAGACGTTCATGATTTCACAGTGTCTGTAAAATATGTTCTTGATTTTGTTGTCACTGCGGAAGATGTTTATGATTTCACACAATATGGGGGAGATCAAGAACAATATGGCCTAATGTAAAACCTTATTGCAGTATTACAATTTCAAAAGCAACCCACTTTGGCACAACCCAGCCAGGGCTTGAGTAATTCACCAGACTCACATTTTTTACCCGTAAAAAACTCAGGCCCGCACCCCGCAGACCCCTACTACAACAGCCCTTTACATATATTTTAGTAATTAAGAAACTCATCTTTTATATTTTTTTTATATTTTATTTGTAGCCTGGTATTCCTAAACTATGCATTGCCAGCTTCAAAAATTGCTAAAAATTATAATAACCAAACCTTACCAGCCAACTTTGGCCATAATGCAACAGTGCTGAGCTATTGGTCCTAGTGCGAGACATTTGATTTTGAGAATTGTGACAAAGCTTGTATTTCAAAAGTTTAAATGACCATGTTCATAAGGTCCCTTGTAAACTTGTATTAGCTTATTGTTAGATTTTTTGCAGATGAGATATTATCTTTATATTATTAAGACAGTTGAACTAAAAAGAGTTAATGAATCAACTGGTAAAAACGTTAAGATGTTTTTGTTGTACATCAAACTTAAACTTGCTCAAACTTGTCCATGTATTCTACAGTATAGTAATATTTTTGTTTGATTTTGAATGCTAATGAAATGATGCTGGAATAATTCACACTTAGGCCTGTGGTCAACTAGAGCCAACATTTCACAAGCTAATATCACTAATACTACTGAAATTAAATCAGGAAAAAGTGAAACTAGAAGAATTATAGGATTTGTCAAATTCAAATTGTGAATCAGGCAAAATCGGAAGTACAGAAAATGGTACGGAAAGTAAAATGGTAGTAAAAGAAAATGGTAAAGGATTAAATTTGCTACACATTCTAAAACAAGGGAAATTTCCTTTTATTTAAGACCTTTTCACTTTCATTAATAAAACACTTTACATTTTATCACTTTATTATTTATTAGCATATATTCACAGTACAAATTGAACTATCAGGAATGTCAAAGGTTCATTGTGGAGGACCCCTCACAAACTAGGCACAATGATTTAAAATGAGTTTTAAAAATGTCATATTCTATTAGAGATGAAACTTTTGTTCTATTTGCGTCAAATGAGCCTCGCTCTTAACGTCATTAGTTCAAGTGTGCATCATATGAGAATTGTTCTTCATGTCTTCAATTCAACTTAAACTATACCATATTAACAACACTCTCAATAAAAGCATGCTAAATGACACGTTAAAATTACAAAACATTCGTAGAATCTAACGTTTTACAACTTCACTTTGACCCGCAATTACATCACTTAAACGGCTGAGCCTGCCCTTGGATTTCCAGTAAGAGATTTTTAATGGGACAAAAATTAGCTTAAGAAAATAAAATAAAATAGTACTTTAGAGGGTTTTAACATTCACGCTAGGTTATATTTTAGCTTGTAAGGTACGTTTTTCACTTATAAAAATATAAGGTACGTTTTCACTTATAAAAATATAGTTATTAAAATTTAAACATTTAAAGTTGTCAAACCATGAAAATTGTTGAGGTTGGTAGGGATTAGGTCTCACTACGATTACTGTTAGGCCCCTCAACTCAGTCTAATTGTACTATTCTGCATGCATTACTCCTGGCTCGTACCACGGGCGGTGCTTGTGGCTGGGTGGGGGGTGGGGGCACTGCTGCGGCTTGTCTCTGACGGAAGGAGTTGAGGAACTCGTGGAAGCTTTGTTGATTATCTGGTGTCGTCTGCGGTGTGGCAGGGGGAGCAGCAGTCCTGGTGGGGCCATGCAGTCCTATCTGAGACATGATCTGCTGTAGCGGGTCCAGTGTTGGCTCAGCTGGGGTAGACAAGACCGGCACCGCTCCTGCTCCCAACCTCTGCAACAAAACCACTTTGTCAGAGGATTTGTTTTACTTACTCTCAATTTTTTAAAATTTATTTCCAAATGATACAAATTAACAAAAGTCATACAATTTAGCTACAAAAGCCATTTATGGCACTGACTGGGTGTTGTTGCATGTGTGGCAGCATCATGCCTCCTTGTAGCGGCTCCAGATCAATTACTATAATTTTTTTATTATTATAATTATAAATGTATCTTGAAATGTTCTTTACAGAAATCTATCTAATCTAATCTAGCTGGCAGTACATTAAATCCTTTGCCATTTTAAATTTTAACGAATGTCGTTCAATGAATAATATTTTATTTACTATTAAAGACAGCCTACAACAAAAAACACATAGCAGTTTTAGTGGAATAGAGAACATGTTAAACAATTTAGGTGGGATTCCTTAAGCAGTTAATTAAGAATAAAACAATTTAATTGCCCCCAAATTCTTATCCATAAAGAAATATAGTTCCAAGTTTCACCTCAAGTACAAAACTCCATTAGAGTAAAACCACTTTCAACTGAGCTCTGTTAAACTAAAACCCAGGTTAACTGAAACCACGATGAAAAATACAAATTGATTGGAAAATTAGTTAGGTAATGGTCATTGTCTGTCGTGACTCAGACAGTTAGCCTGGTTTGGCCAACAGAAAGTATGGAGCGGAAGACGGCAGTCGTCTCTCTAAGCGGTATAGAGACAAATTCAGAAAGCAAATAACAATTATTTTAAGATGTAGACACTGTCAACAATTGTCCAATGTTAAGATGAATTTAATTAAAACAACGTAAAAACTACTATAGAAGATCTTTTTGAACCAAAAGAACCTTCAAAATCACACCATTGATGAGATGCACAGTAAGCTTTGGTTGATGTGTACGGACTCTCAAGTTAACCCCTCACAGCCGGGACACTTGAGTTAGCCCCTCACTCAATACATCTACAAAATGCACTCTTTAACTCCGTTACTCAGAGTTTTACTGCACATACAAATCAAACCCACAACAAAATTCTATCATTAACAGAGTTAATGTCTCTAGACGATTAAATCTGCAAACTTATATCTATCGTGGACCCATTTCATTGAGACAGTGACTGACCTGCTGCTGCAGTTGTTGCTGTTGCTGTTGTTGCTGAGCAGCCAACACTTGCAGCATGGCAATCACGTTGCTGTTGGTCGTCGGGTTAGCAGCACTGACTGGGTGTTGTTGCATGTGTGGCAGCATCATGCCTCCTTGTAGCGGCTCCAGACCTGCCAGACTCGTCTGCTGTGCCAACACCTATCAACAACCACTCTGTGTAACAGCTGATTTATCTGTGTTGAAACAACAGCTGATTCAAAGTTTAATTTATGTACAGGCTATACAAATTTTATATTAGCAGTATAGCATTGTAAAAATTTATTACTATTATAACTTACACAATATTGTGTCTACCATTCTTAAAACATTTTATCTGCACCTTAAAAAGAGCTTTTTGGTTCCTGCTTCCACCATGGAATTTTCATATCCTTAAATAGTAAATTTCTCATTTTCTCACCTGACGCTGCTCCAGATCACTTAGTTTGTTGAACTGTTCCGACTGCCTTAGTCTGGCAAAGATAGCGGCTTGTTGTCTGCAACAAAAGAAGAATTGTTATATTCCAATGGGCAAATAAAGCCGAGTTGTGACTTTGAATACATTTTAAGATATAAAGAGATGTTTAGAACAGCAACATCAGTATAATGTTGTATAATATTACTTCAGTAAGTCATTTAATGTTACCTTTGGTGCAGCATTTGCTGATGTATCTGGTACTGCAGCAGCATCGCATCGTCCAGAGCCGGGGCGGGAGGAGCGGCAGGCAGTGTCTGAGGTATCAATGGGTGTGGTTGGTTCTTCTGCAAAAATTAAAAAAAAATTAATCTTTTCAAAAGTTTATCTTAAATAATTCCAAGTGGTGATAAAATTTGTTAACATTCAAGGTGTGTGCCAGAGTAAAAGCACACAAAAAGAGCGCTCCAACAGTATTCCCGTGATTCTTACCTTGATGGGAGGTAATGTGTGATAGTCTACTTCAAAAGGTTTGTCTGGCTTCCAGAACTTCTTCATCTCACTGATCGGCAAGAATATTTCATCGCAAGTTCTTCGGACAAGTAAACTAGACGAGAAATACCCCAGGACATACCAATCAGCCATCTCAGTAGGGAGGAAATTCCCTAGAACATTAAAAATATGAGGTTAGAAACTGCTAGGATTAGAAGTTTAGCTCAAACATATATAAGAACTTGTAAATAAATCCATACAAAATAAATATCTCAAAAGTAATACTGTGCTAGGCAGTCGGAAGCACTAGGATTCTAGCAACTAATAGAAAGTAGTATTTTACTTCTTCATCTTGACCGGATTCTTACAATATCCAAATGATTTTCAAAATAAAATATTCAAAAGGTAATGCATTGAAACAGAAATAACTATGCAACACCTTCACATAGATTAAGATTTTTGAAAAAAAAAACCAATGTATATGGGTATAAAATGTTACAATGCTCTTCCAACAAAACTAAAGGACTATACAAGGACTACAAAATTTAAAAATAATCTAAAAATGTACTTTTTAACCAATCCCCTGTACTCAAAGAATGAATACTTCCTCCTACATAATATATTAGAATAAGAACTTTTTCAATAGTGATTATATCTTGTACTTTTTAAGGATTAAGCGTTATGATTTTGATCCAATGTAATGACGCCATTCGTGCACATGTTTACAAAGTATGAATAAAGTTGATTTCATTTCATTTCAATGTAAGAATATTTTATATCAATAATTTTGATTAACATTAATATTTCAATAGTTTTACTCTAGAAGACCTACATATTATTAGATACAACAAGAAGATATTAGCATATCCAGTGTGATCAGCCCCCCTTCCACCTCGATCTCTAAGGGGCACAACACTTTTTGAAGTAGCCACTTTGGTCTGTCTCATGGGGATTTTTTGGACAAGTTACCTTGTATCTCGCCTTGAGGGTCCTGATACACCCAGCTGATGTCTTTGTTGGAGTTGGGTAGTGGCGACTGTGTGCTGGCGTGATGGTGGGAGGGTGATGTGTTGGAGGGGGAGGGGATAGCCTCTCCATCCTCCTCCATCAGTCGAGAGACAAACACGTCCGCATCGTTCAGTAACCTCTGCTCCATCTCGTCTTCGTGATTTGGTTTCTGAGGTGGTTTCGGTTCTGAAAGCAAACATTAGTGTAATTATGCGACAGTGGGATAGTTGGAATTAGCCGGATCACTAAAATGAGAGAGTTTATGGATGCTGAACTTACTACACCATAGCTCTTTCAACTGTCAAGAACCACAAATTTGAACCATTAAGCACTAAAACAAATCCTGTGCTCGTAATGCAAACATGCAATGCATGAGACTTTAATTTTAAAGTAATGTAATGCTCTGCAGTTATTATAGTGCAGGTTTTCATTACAAGTCTAGAAATTTACTGTACAATAACTACAAAATATTTACCTTCAACCGGTTTGGGAGGTACATAGTTTGTGAAGGCCGAGTGTTGCTCCAGAGGCGATGTGGCAGGTTTTCTCACGGGTTGCTCTCTCTGTGGTTTGCTTTCACCGGAAGAGAGGGAAGGATGGCTATTTACACCTGAAAAAAGCTCAACTATCAAAACTCACCCAAACTACCTTGAAATTTACTTATGAAAAGAGCAAAACAACCAAGATACATCAAAATTAATAAAAGGTTAAATACCTGTAGTACTTGTCCGTGATCCTGTGTTTTAGGTCAGCGACCCAGGTTTCGAACCTAAAGGTTCATTTTCAAGCTGATACCACATGGTTAAACTCCTTCTAAACACATAAATCCTCTTCATAACTGTGAAGAGTCGTTGAAGACACGAACACGAACACGAAAACACAAACATTTAACAAAATTGGCCAACTGGTACGGTAGCGCGCGTGGTGTACACCACACAGTATTATTTTAATTGGCCAATTTTGTTAAATGTTTGTGTTTTCGTGTTCGTGTTCGTGTCTTCAACGACTCTTCACAGTTATGAAGAGGATTTATGTGTTTAGAAGGAGTTTAACCATGGTATCAGCTTGAAAATGAACCTTTAGGTTCGAAACCTGGGTCGCTGACCTAAAACACAGGATCACGGACAAGTACTACAGGTATTTAACCTTTTATTAGTAAATTACGTGATTCAGAGGCTTAACATGTTAAACATCCAAATTACTTTTGAAACAAGAATATTTGTTTATACTCACCAGAAAAGGAAGCAGAGGTACTAAGTGGGTGAGGCAGTGGATTCACTGCCTGAACAGGAGGTCGTCGCTCACTGTTCAGATTGGTGGCACTTTGGGAGAGTCTTAGAGGAGCTGCTTTAGTACTAACAGTGTCAGCAGCACCTGTACATAACACAACATTACATAATGTAACTGTCATGAAAATATTGTAAAATAATCTCATACCCATCCTAAAATAAGAGAAAAACTACTGCTAAAAGTTGAATACCTTGGTCTTGTGAAGGGGATGTTCCATTTGTGATGTTGGGGGGTTCTTTCTTTGTCTGCGATGTTGGCCTGGGTTGGGAAGTGTTGGTCTTGCTTTGCTCTGATTTTGTCCTTCCTCTTTGCTGGTTAGTGGCCCCCTGAAATACATGTGAACCATTAAATAGTGAAATACAACTTGATATGTTCCAATGACCAATACTGAGAGATTTATCCAAAAAAATTATTTTACTTTTACCATTTGGAGGATTAAAGATGGCGCTTCTAAAACTGGAAAGTTTGCATAATCCTCAAAACGTGCACATAACTTGCAATCAGCAGTTCATCAACAAAACCAGACAAGTCAATAAAATTTACTCTACTTACTTCTTCCTCGTCCGAACAAACTGGTCCACCATGAAACGCTCCGGAGGCATCAAAACTGCCCCCACTTTCACTTGGATTTTCCATCGCCCACTCGGGCAGGTTGGACTCCTCTTCCCAGTGTTTGCGAGGTGGAGGGTGTGAGTTGTTTGTCTCCTCCCAAGGGCGTGATCTGTCCCAGCCTTCACCCTCTCTCCAGCTGTTACTGTTACCTCTCCCTACAACCAACGTAATGCAAAACTATTTACAACTTGCCAATGGCATAATGAGAATACTTTCAACCAAATAACTCACAATTCATGTTATTGTACAAAGTTACCCTGTGAATTATAAGATCTGGGAAACCATAAAAAATACAATTTTTTTTAAATACCTACTTAGACCAAAGTCTAGCTAATCTGAATTGTGATCGGACTTGGTTTGGATTCACAAATTGTTTGAACTAGCCGGTAATTCTGTAAAATTGCATAAAAAATCAAGGCAATGTATTTTTATGACTGTAAATGGCCATATATATATTGTTTCTGCATTTACAAACAACACCGTTTTGGCCTCCCAAAATATTGTGATTGTCAGTCATGAACACGACCAACATCATGATATTTCTCAACATCACAGAAATATCCCTGATTTACTGTGATTGTGATAACACCCATGTTATTATCTCCTGCCATCCCTAACTTCTTGCTACACGTAGAACTTAATATAGAACCAAAAGAACAAAGTTAATGAATGAACCAGCCTTTTGGGCTATTGGTGAAATTTCTAATTTCTAGTTCAAAAATTCATACACAAATTATGGACTTTTTCCCGATCATTGAAATTTAAAAGTTTTTCAAGTAGTTTACAATTTTAAGTTTTCTTAGGCAAGGACACACCTGCTGGGACAATCTACTTAAGATAAAGAATGTTCAGTGACTTGCAGTTGGTTGGTATTTGTACATTATTTAAAAAAGCAGATTTGATAAGTGGTTCTGTAAAAGCTAAATGCATAGAAAAAACTTTTTTTAGGAGTTCCTCCTGCTTGGTGACCACTTACCCCACTTGTCCGAGGGCCTAGACGCCCGCCAGCCATCATCCTCCTCCCCTCCACCACTCAACCGATGTCTCCTCCAGTTGGTGTCGCGAGACCCAAAATCTTTCCGAGGACTGTCGCCTGTATCCCCTCCATTCCTCTCTCCCCATCCCCCACCACTCTATGGAAAAGAAGAAACACTTACGTTTACCAAATGCAGGTTATAAAGATACCTATAAAACCTATTGGTTAGTTTTCTATAGAAACTAGGCCAAGTCGACCCAAGCTTTGAAGCTTTTATTACCGATAACATGTCTACAAGATTATTTTTGCCACAATTGCAGAGGACTAGGACAATGATGAATTTGTCGCGAGAGACGTTCAAGGTTTTGCCACAATAAAAGATGATGTTTCCGTGATTGCCAGAGACAGTGGTGATGTCCACAACCCCGCGGGATATGTTCAGGATTTTGCTGCAACTAGTAGATAATGATGATGTCTCTGTGAGTGTGGGAGACAATGATGATGACAACACAAGCACATATAGGATTTTAGGATATTTAGGATTTTGGCAGGAGCTTGGCTTCTACCTTCTTTTATAACCTGTTTAGTAACTTCTTACTACTGCAGTTTTAACTTTTTAAAGTTCTTCCAGAAAACGATTAAAATGGTTGAAGATCTACTGTATTATACATGCTAAATTAATTAAATTTTAAAATTCATAGGTTCACAAAAGAATCACCTATAGAAGACCAAATATATGGATTTTTTAAGTTTTGTTTGACAAATATTGCATTAAAATTAATTTGAAAAGATGTTTGTGTTAATTTATCCAATATCTAAGAAGTCCTGTAAATTTTGTTAAAAGCTTGTTATTATATTCAATTTGTTCAGTTGAGTTTTTAAAACTTTACCTACATTTCTAAACAGTAGTTCCAAAAGCATTTCAAAGCAAATTGAAGGGTTTGTGATTTATGGTTATGTTTTATTTCTCACCTGAGATCTGTCGTAGTTGTTTCTCCCACGAGGATATCCGTTGGTGTTCTCTGACTCGTCGTAGCTCAGTCCCCGACTATAGTGATAGGAGCCGCGCCCCCGCCCTCTTCCCCTGTCCACCGAGCCCCCCCGACCCCCCATCGCACCTCTCGGCCCCCCCGGCCCCATGCCAGGCTTGGACAGTCGCAGGGCTCCTTCACTATTGATGCCCCGGTTCCACTGAGTCTACAAACATAGTGTTGTTTTACCACCAAAAACATTCTAAAACTTTTTCAGCAACAAATCTCAAAAAGAGAACATTTTAAGTTTAGTCTAGAGCTAGTAAAATAGTTAATGACAAATAAATAAAAAGTTTAAGTACCTTTTGTACTATAGATTTGGTTTTCCTCATTCGACAAAATTTGAACGATAACACTCACCATGCTTAAAAATCAATCTTTAGGTTTGAAAACTTTGTTGTCTTACAAAAACCGGATCATAGACTTTGTTGTCTTACAAAAACCGGATCATAGCAGTAAAACAGATATTCAACCATCTTACTTGTATAAACGTGATCCGGAGGCTAATAATGTTTGTAGCTTAGTTTTACTTTCATGAAGGCTTTAAATGGTGATTTTTTTACCAATTGTTATACTAAGATTCAAAAACCAATTGAAAATGGCACCTCTTTTATCTTTTTACCTTGATTCTGAAATATACATCAACCAAGTGATAAATATTGCCAAACATTTCTTAAGAACCTTACTGTGGTATAACTTTTATGGTATAAGTTACATAGAATTAGCTACTCCTATTTAAATGTATTGTGTAAGCTCACAATTTCCTCCTGAGTCTGAGGTATAAGAGCGAGCGGGAGCTGCATTTCCTTGACGTACAGCCCCTGCAGCTGCTTGATATCGTCAGGTGGTTGGACGTTGCGATTAAACAACGCCAGCATCTCCTCCCGACCGTAGCGGTGGTCTGCCATTCTGATAGGTGCTGTCTGAGCTGCACCTCCACTGGAATCCCCGCTCTTCATGTTGCGTAACCTGACAAACAAGAAATGACAACATCAGCCAAAGTTCCGTCAGGTAGAATAGTCTACCATCTGTTGTGACGACCACATCATGGGCAAGCGTGTATACAAGTCACCTAAGGAGGTTGTCAAGAGCTCCGAGACGATCACCGATTTATATTGTGAGGTCCTAGGATATAGGCAAAATAAATTTAGTCAGTCAATAATTTAAAGGGAAAGGGTGATGGAGTAGGAAGGGCTATTTTTGCTGATTTATAAATGTTAGTTAGAAATAGTTTGAAAACTGATGTATTTTTACTGTAATGATTTACACTATGTATATGTACTAATATGCAAATAAAGAACTATTGATTTGATTTATCAAAATGACTGTGATGGCTCTCAAAATACAGCTTTCAACCAATAAACCTCTTTATGATAGTCAACTTTAATTTCCTAGTGAGGTAAAAAGGTAAAACAAATAACTGATTTCCCCGTCTCCTTTCATTTTATTGCAAATACAGTATACTCCCTTTTATCCGGACTCCTCGGACAGTCCGGATAACGGTTTTTCCGGTTAAACTGACGTTCCCAAAAACTTGTTAAAACTGACCGTTTATATGCATACTGTATACAGTATTTGACTTAAATTTAGGAGAGCATTGTATTTAGACACGTGATCACTGGTCTCAAATATTTCCCACAAGAACAGTCGTTTCAGTACCACCCAATTCCTGCCAATCTAGTACGGTTAAACCGATGTGCTGATAAAAATATTCCGGTTAAAGAGATGTCATTTCAGCCAAGTGTAGTCCGGTTAAAAGGTGTTCGGATAAGAGGGAGTCTACTGTACTAGGTTTCTGTAAAACTAGATGGAAATGGTATCAATTGATTTAAGATCAAGACATACCAACACACACTAATACAAGTCCAGCTATGACTGAGGATGATGCTGAATCAATTGTCAGCAGTCAGAAGGTTGCCATATTTTTAGGCCTAGTCCTAGCTGAGCAACAAAACAAGCACAACCGACACTGCCTATGTGACACTAGCGACAGAAAAAATTACAAATTAATACATGTAGTGACATGAGCTATGAGCCGCCGCAGTGCCGTGCAACCGAAATTGTCTTTGGTCGCGAGATAGGTAACTTTTTTGAAGTCACTTGAGAGCAATCCTAGAATGTGAACAAACGTATCTATTGACATTCTTGTATAATTTTGGACAGTTTTTTTTCGTTATTTTTCATATAGGTAATGAAATTTGCCATTCCAAACTCATGCCTTTCTAAAGGATATCAGGTGCCCAGGTATCTACGTGCATAGATTTTCTTTATAAATACTTACTGTAAGTGATAGTAGAGATACCGAGCAACAACAACTTGCGCTTTTCCCTATAAAAACAGGTTGACTAATGCACAGTTCACTGCTGACTGACGTCTGCCTATCATCGCTGCTGTCGCGTAATCAATATGGAAATTCGACCATCACTGGAAAGACAGACGACCATGTCGGCCGCACTTTATCCAGCCACTCAACAAGGACTAGGCCATTGTTTTCATAGGCTATATATTTTTTTTATATGCAGGCTAGTTTTATGATATTTTTGCACTTTATTCAAAAGAAATTTGAAGTACCAACAAAAATGTTTTAACAGCTATCAAAGTAAAATACTTGAATTGAAATAAGCAATTAAAAAAAAATTGTCTGCAAAATAATCTGAATTAAAGTTTTAAAAATACAAAGTCCTTGTTAAAACTATGTACAGTCCTCACCAACTCGACAGCCTGTGTATATTGATAGTCCGCAACAGCAAACAGGGTGCACGCAAAAAGAGATTTTTTTCAGAACATTCAGTTTCATAATTATTGAATATTCAATATATTTTTTAACGTTCTTTACTTAACGTGTCAAAATTTAGGTCCTATGTAAAAATTAGTAGGTTGTGTATTCATTTATTGAAACCCATTAGAAATGTCAATACAGGATAACTTAACAATCCCCAAACTAGACAACTCTGGATACAGAAAATCTTGAGTTAGTGAGGTTTTACTGAACTGTAAATAATAGTAATATAAACACTGGTTTCTCTACTGTACCACATTTTTACCAATCATAATATTTTTAAAATAAAAATGTAAGTTACTTCAAACAGGTTAAATACAGACTACATTTAAATTACTCTCCAGTGAATAGAGGGTGTTCTTTCAATTTACAATGTAAAGGTCAGGTGATGCTGCATTCATTGTATGAGAGGGTTTAAAAAATGAATTTCTTATGAAAAAGTGATATGACCACCACTTTGACTTCAACCCTAAAGATGTGTGTTTACATGAGGCCAGTAGACAGGCAATTTCTACTAAAATAAAATAAAAAAGATTCTTTATTTTTTTGTTAATTTTTAATTTATATTTTTTTCTATTAACAGTTGGGCAAAACATCTATAATCTGATAGATTTAATTTCTGAACTTAATATTCCATTTACCTGGCTGTATTTCTTCTAAAATATTCCTTTAAAATTGTCAAATTTTTATTTCCTATTTATATAACATTAATTTTAGTGAGTACCTACTAAGGTTTCCTGCTACAGGGAAGGTGTGTTTTTTTTTATTATTGAAATGTTGATAGCTTAGTATGAAATGAAATGAACAAAATTGCCAAATTTGAATAAAATATATTCATTAACTAGCTAACTACAACAGTTTATTTATTTTATTCTCTATAAGAATAACATGGAAATTTTAACGCTTGGATATACAAAATTATATCTTTTTTAAGCTCTATAAAGTTGTTTGGAAAGGAATATAATGAAATTCTGTTTTAGGGTTTTACCACATAAAACCACCAATAAACCCCCATTTTTCCCATAGTCCAATTAGGTATGCTGAATCGCGAACTCTTTTGAATAAAATTATGTTCACACAATTGTACCAAGTTTCATCAAAATCCGATCATTTTTGCACGAGTTATTGCGCTAATGAAAAAATATATATACAGTGTATGAATTTGAACGGTGGGTATTTTTGGGCTCTGGGGGCCTCAAAATATAAAAGGAAATCGGTCTCGGGTCTAGGTCTTACCGTGAGTCCTATGGTAATAGCTTATTCCCTACACGGGAAATTCATTAAAAAGACAATATGAATATAGCATAAGAGATATTGAACAAAACAGAAAACACACAGTTAATTATAACATTTGCTAACTGGTATGCTTGTAAACAGTTTTCGTAGGGGTATCTTAATTCAGTAAACATTTTTAGGCAGGCCTATGGTTTAAGTTAATTTTATTTTGTTAATTTACAATCTTAAAACAAAAATTTACTTCCCAACCCCACCCAATTTTCAAGATTCCTAATATTTTAATGTTTTCTACTCGAGCTTGTGATTTTTAAACTGCCTATTGTTGTGTAGACAAAACAAAAAGTAGGTTAACGCCGGGGTCATTTGTTCATTATTACCGTGGGTCTATTTTTGAGCCTAACTGCATCTCGCAACATTAATTGTTTGGCCTGCTAATTTTTTGTTAGTTAATGTCCCCCCTTGCATTGGTTGGGGGACAAACATTATGTTATTATTAACTCGTTAACATATGCTCTAGCCTTTGCCGGCTTCAAACTCTTAAAAAACTAAAACTTGATTTTTAGACAAATATTTGGCGACATCTTTTAACAGAACCCCCACCCCCCCCTGATTTTGGTAAAAACTCACCTAAGCATCTCATTGTTCGGACAAAAAGGAGATTTTAAGATATATATTTTTTATATTATTTACAGCAATAGCTGATTATTATTTACAAAACAATTTTTAATACATCTACTCCTAAATATATATGAATATTATTCAAAGAATAGGCTATATACTTTTGACAATCCTCCCTGCAAAAGTGTATCAAAATTTATAAAAACTTATATATTTATTGTTTTGTCAAACGAGTAGAGGCCTATATGAACACATCCCTATAAAAAGACTAATGGCATTTCAATAAATGAAACTGTACTTTTAATAAAAGACCTAGGGTAAAACGATATGATAAAACCTACAGCTGGTTTGAAGTAAACAATAACATGTGCTCCTCGCAAACGGCACTTAACAGTCTGATGTCAGAGCCTTACGTGGCCGAGCTGGTTTAGTCAATGATAAACTGCATGTGAAACGACACTCACACACCAGCTGCACCCATCTGATCCCTCAGGAATGCAACAATTTTGGGCTCAAAAATATTCTCATCAAACACATACTTTGTCTCTTTTGTGTGTGCTTTAAAAAAAAACAGTGGAATTAACCAGGGAATCAAAACTATTATTAAAGTTAATATGATTGTTTTCTTACTCAGTATTACAGTAAAACCTACTTGACAATTTGTGGAACCTGAGTTTGTAGAGTTTGGGGGTTGCCAAGTTATCCAGAACATTGAAATTTTTAATGGATAAAAAAAAAATGAATAAATAATTTTTACATACATTTCTTACTTAGCCTACATAAGTATTTCTGCATATTGAGAAAATAATCTTTAAAGAAATTTTGAATATTCAACAATTAAAACTAGAAAAATTAACACAATAGCAAGAAAAAGCCAGCTAGATGTGCTGTAAAAAAGCAGCTAGGCTGCTGATGACTGTCCAGTTTCAAGGACTGTCGAGTTACTGGGTGTTGAGTTTGATTTTACTGTTATACAATAATGTTTAACAGACAGTTATGACCCAGATTAAACATAGCTTATATAGGAAATTCGCTAATACTCTCTTGGCAATCATTCTTATGGCCCAGCTGAAGAAATTTATTGTTAAACAAATAAAAAGTGTCCAATATAAAATGCATTCTGAAATAGAATTGAAATTAATTCAGGATTCAAATGTCATTAGCATGAGGAGTCTATTTGCAGTGCCTTTTTGAGTTGATAGTTATATTAAATTCTAATAAATTTGTAATCCTCACTTTTATAGGTGTAAAGGTAGGCCTATTGAGATTTTCTTTGTAATAAAAATTTTACAAGTACTAGATCTTACTGAAGCCTAAGAATTTTTAGGGCAACTTA